CAGCCTCTGAGTCTCTAGATGCAAGCGAGGTACACGTGTTCACATGTGCCCAAGATCAAATGGGTTGTTGGGTGGAATGTTTCGCATGGGTTACGATAGGAATAATGAAATTGATCTGCAACACGTGAATCAGTCTCATTGAATTAAGGAAGAGTAACTTGGATCTTCGTTGATCGATCTTTCGTCTTTACCTACAGTGTTTGGGTCTAACCTCAGCTCAAAGCGACAGATTTTAGGCGACCAATCTGTGACTTACATTCGGCGTTTTTTGGTCTAAAAAGCTCTTTTTGTAGGTGGATTTTGTTTCCGTAATCGTTTATTCTAACAGAAAGTTTGATTTTTAGAGCTTCGTAGAAATTAGCCCCAGACATTTTCCACTCTTACGGGGTAACCGGTGACAAAATAAACCTTCATGGTAGTTGTTTTGAATCGACTATCTATTTTTGAATTATTCTGAGAAAACTTTCCCTCTCATCTCACTTCACCACACCATGATCAGCAACATTGTTGTTTCGCGAGTAGCCCATCGGCAAACCGTTCCGGTGTCAACTGTGATTTGGACCGAAATGAGCTTGCGCGCACCCGTAATAGCGTTACAAGATCCCATCATTCATAGTCAACGCGGATCCTATATTGTTCGAGAGTGTTATCAAAATCGGTTCGTGTATCTTTGTTGACATTATCGGATTATCAGCTCCCCTCCGTCACTTGATATTCAATCATATTGACAGCATACTTCCCAGCCAACATGCACTTATTTAACGTTCACAATAATTCACTCCTCGTCATCTCTATCATTACCAACGTAAAGAGAAAACCTGTTGAAAGTGAACTAGTGAATTTGAAAAATTCTTACTGATTATTGTTTCTATTGTGCTTGTTTTCTCTTTCTTATCTATACTGGCATACGATGTGTTTATTCATTACTCGATCGCTTTTTCATTAGCATAAAATTATCGTGCTGATCCGATGTATTACATTGTTCGAGTGGAACACACTGTACGCACAGTACTGGCCGATAGTGATGTGCTAAAATATTTTCTTTCTGATCAGATTGAATTTCATTACACTTATCACCTATATTATTACTTTAGGTATAGACAATAAGTTATTTCTTGTCGATTTCGATCTACGTAGTTAATAGGCTGCATGACTGCCAATTAAACATATCTGGCCTTGTCTTCCAAGATAAAATAATCTCAAAATAAAATCGCTAACCTTATCAAGTATGAAAATGCAATATATTTTAATAGGAGCGACTCAATAATGATCCCAATTTATTTTCGTAAACCCTTGCGATCTAAGTTATTGGTTATAAGGCATTACTTTATCCAATATATAATCCATAATAGCATCTCTATTGAATAACCAAATGCAATTCTTTCTCAACCCGGAGAAATTGCAATAAATAAGATTTCATAATAATAATCCATGTTTGTTGGTTAGCTCACTGAATACGAGAGATTCCATTTTCATCAAAGTCAACCTTGAAATCAAGGTCATTTCTGTGCACAGCTTTGAACGTTCGCATTGTTATCGCCATAATGAAGCAGCAGCGCTTGAACCCAAAAGTTCTCGTTATCCCAGTGAAGAGGACATGAATAGAATTGCACACAACTTGGGATTTTCCCACATCAAATCTTTCCGAATGCCTCAGCGTTAACAAAAGCGCAGTTTACAGGATAATCCATGGAAAAACAACAACCAGAACAGCTTGTGGTGGATTCGATGCCGAAGAGATTCGAAAAAACGTGTTAAAGGGCAAAAGCAGGTCTAGGTCAACCACTGCTGACGAAATGGGAGTATCCGCAACATTCTACATCATTCCATCTGCTGAGTATAAACAAATCACAAAAATCACTGTTATAAAGACTCACGAAGGCTTGCTTATTATTACTTGGAAAAAATTGTTCCAGTATAAATGCTGTTGCCTATACGAACCCTCAAGTGTTCCACAGGGACCCCTTCTATCAGTTTTGATTGGACCTGTTTATTTGGGACCATTTGACTTCATTCTGTCATCCCAAGCAATAATAAGTCGTTCTTGCAATGTCAGTTAGCCACTAGTTGTAGGAAATAGTACGTAGCTCTCGGTTACTAATCTTCCGGTAACATTGACTGTGCTCCACGTGACACGAAAAAGTGAACTACACTCACAAAATACTAAACCCGTGCAAATTGTTGTTTGCCAGATTGATGATTTTTATATCGAGATTGTGAAAAGTTTAGTGACCTCGATGGGATTCGAACCCACTCATGGTCTTCGCCTACGCTGTTGTACAGCGCACGCTCTACCACCGGAGCTACGAGGCCACAAAACCCGTGGTATATTCATTATTAATCATCAGAGATTTTCGTGTACTATTGATTTTGCGACTTTCTGATTTGGTCTATTGGTACTAAGCTAGATACTTAGTCGTAGCACATCAATCAAGTTGAAGAATTTGTTAAGTGTCTGTTGCTTCCGTCGCTTCCGGAATTGGCGCAGTGGTTTAGTCGCTATCACTGGCGTGCTTTGGACCCTATGGTCCGAGGTTCGAACCTCGCCACCCGACTTTAATGGTAGGCAGTTCTACTGTCGTCCGGTTCAATACCACGCCTAACCTATCGGGGCCTTATGTGGTTCTCCACTCCATGTCCCGGGGCTTAAGTTACCGGTTTCCATCACTGAACAGCAGGTTCTCGTGACTATGGGGCTTTCCCCATCTGCTGTTCATCACACAAATGTGTGTATAATAAAACATCCTAGAGACTAATGTGTCTATCCACCAGAGAGATGAATTTGGTATCCATCGCCTTTTTACATTACTGTCTCTTCAGCCTTTGCACCATACACTCGAATCACAGCAAAATGGGACTTGGTAATGTCTGTTGTAACCTGCTTGCCCCCTCTCCTTAACCTCTCACACACAGGGCACTATATCTATAGCCAAAAGAATATAATTGTACCATGTACACCCCCAGGTCTTGACTTGGAGAACAGTCACCTAGGTGATCAAACGTGAGCAGGTGCGCCTCAGCCCACCGACTAAATGGTCGGTGGTGCTCGAATGTTGAGTGATTTTTCACCTTTCTGGCGTTCTCCTCATTAGATCCGCATGTGTCCGTCAATGACCCTGTGTTGTGTGCGGGTGTCTCGCCGTTACATAAAGTCGATGCCCCCTTACCTCGATCTTGCTGTCACTTATCCGTTTAGAATGCTTGAAATAGTGTTTTGCACAGTTGGGTTGTGCATGTTGACCATAGAGGTTCGCTTTCTTTCCCATTCCTAAAAATAGGCACACTCTCTATCCTCCTTCAACATTCGCACTTACCATGTACGTATTACGTGTTTGGCAGCGGTCAGCGAATTTCGCTACCCTACTTTCCTACAGGTTTCACTGGTTTGTGCGTGAGCTAGAGACATACGCCCAAGCACTCAGGCGGACGCAACCTACTGAACAAACCACAGTAGCTCAATAGACATTACTGGTTGTCATGGGGTAGTGATTGTTGTGTATAGGAAAGCCAGCAGAGCTATCATCCCATGGAATCAGATCACTTCCAGAATTGCTGTAGCGCAGCACTGGTGTATCCGTTTATGTACCGACTCTGGCAGCTGACATAGTGGTCAAGATGAATTTTATGTTCAACCACAAAATGCGTGGTCATACCTCTAAACAAGACATACTTCTGATCACGGGCGATTAGAACTGAACTATCAGATGGATCCCCCGTCATATTCTAGAGAGGTTCGGAATTGGCAGATGAGATGGCAATGGTTGACTTTTAATCTCGTTTGCTGACTAGTGGTTAACCACACGTGCCAATCCAACGTTTGCTACACAGCGCGCCAGATGAATGGTGTATTAATAAGTTCTCGCTGGGCTTCATCCGTTGAAGATCACCGGGTTTATCACAAAGGTGAAACGGGAAACGCGAATGGTTCTGATCATACTGGTGTGTGTGTGTGTGCGTGGTTTGGGACCCCTTAAATAGATATGTCAGATTACGCGATACCGTAATGATCAGTTCAGCTCAGCATCTTATGTAGATTAGAAGCAAAGTATTCTGAGTTTGTAATGCATTTGCTGAATGAGGAACAACGGAACATCTGTAAGCCTTGGTGCGTGCATTTCTGTGTATGGGGAGAGCGGGTGGATGTGAAAGAAAAACATTGACTGAGAACAGTCCAATAACCCTTTTTGGGGAATATTTTATCAGTACTGCAGTGACAAACTACAACTTGCTCACAGTTGCTCACGAATCATACGGCCGACAGAGACTTGAGGGATAAATAGTCTGGGGAATATAACAGGTCCGGCAAACCGCAAGCAAAATCCAAATGCCTTGTAAATAAATAAGGGATAAAAATTGATCAAAAACGCAAACCGTAAGCTATCTGACCTTCAGTAACACGTTTTTGACGTGGTCAGAACAGATGAGGTTGCGGATACATATTACACCCAGATACCTAGCAGATGGTTGTCTGTCCAAAATCTATCTAGAGTCTCGGAAATGGTCAGCATCCTAAATTATAGTTATTTTACCCAGAAAATCGCATGATCTATGGTGTGCATCATTTTTGTCAACACCGTTTGCCGCATTTCATTCCTATCGACCTCGCTGTCTCTAAATTTCTGTTTGTATGAGATTGCGACTCACTCTGTAATTCCTATTTTTCTGGTTGTACCCACACGCCACCTGGTAACGTAACGCTTTTTTCTTCACTCTATTCGTGCAGAAACGCATCACATTGAAGGAGATCAGTCAACATCCTTGGGTGACCGGTGATCCACCGGTTCCGCTTTCTTTAACACAAATTCGTGATAAAGTTCGTTCTCAGTTGGAGGCTTCCATGGTTACCACTGGTTCTCCAACCTCATCACGTGGAATGATGACTTGGTTAGATCCGCTGGTCTATTTGCGTCGCCCGGCTAGTGAATATCCATTGCCACATATTGACGACACAGGGGCAAGGATCTTCACACTATTTGAACTGCAAGAATTGTTACACGAAACAGAGGAGAATGATAACGACGCTGAACACTCTCCCGAAATCGCTCCGTTCTCTGTCCTGGAAAGACTACAGGTCAGCGGTTTCTATCCGAATCGAATATGGTTAAACTATTTTTGAATTCCCCCTCCACTGGTGCAGCTGTCCCAGTACAGTAATTTACTCCGACGTTATCGTTTGCGTTAGAAATCCGAGGAGTATTCTATTTTGTCGGGGCAAAAGTAACCATAGAGAAATTACACCTTCCTATGTAACTGAACAGCTTCAATATTTCGCAGTCAGATCATAATTACCTCTTACCTGTTGACTGAATCCACGTGGCTTGTTTCTTATCATTATTTCAGCTATACGAAACATTGGGTGAACGCAAAGAGGAGAATGAGAACGAACCCAACCGAATGCCTTCATCAGCCCTACCCTATGTATCTGGTCACACGCAAATTGATGAACAAATGGCCCGTTTAGGTACGTGTAGGTACTTGAATCACCCGTCTAATAAATTTGATTTTTTTCATTCTCGTAATGAGCTTTTACATCTCTTAGTTGCATGTAATGTATCGCTAATAAATAAATCACAATGATGCAAGTTAATGGATGAGCTTAAGCATTTTTCGCCTGTATCTCCTCATAGCGGGCAACTCTATACAGAACGATGGTTTCCACATGCATATTTGGAGGGGGCGCAGTAGACTTAGATTTCTACTGATCTTGTAATGCCTGTCGTTTGTGCTGCTACTTCTGGGATTTTTATCGAATTTTGATGAATGCTATCTATCCCACTTAACTGCTGTCGACGGTATTTTAATCCCACATATATTTTTCAACTCCAAAACAACTACTTGTGAGTAGCTACTTTTGAAATGTGAAAAATGGATTAATCTGTTAAGATTCTACTCTTTCTTGTTATTATGACAACATTTACATTTCATTTCAGACCTCGGTTCTGGTCGAGATATTGATACTATTCATCCACGGTCATTTCAAGTCCCGTTTCTGAGTGAGCTCAAGACACGGCACTGTTCTGGTGGTCCAGAGTACCTTAGGCAACCAGATGACTTGCAGACGAATCAAACCCAAGGTAACGGCGGATTTCGTCAGCGCGGTGTGACCATATCACTGCCAGCGCATTCTTCGATGTTTAAATCCAGTGCTGTCCCAACATATCCACGATCCGGTTCCTTTGAACCAGTTAGTGAACCACCCGCATGTCCTGCTGATCTGCCAATTTCGTCACTCGCCTATTTCTCACCACAACCAGCACTGACCGTGGGTCATGGTGGAACAATAGGGGCGACCAGTGTGGCGAGCTACCCTCCCAATGTTGTTGTGGATCTCCCACCGAATTCCGGATCGGGAAGCCACTCCGGATTTCAGTTGGGTTCAAAAGTAATCCAGCTATCAGTTGAATCATTTGGTCACGGCAAACATTCCGCTGAACCGTCACCATCCGCAAGCGGTCCTTATCTAACTCCGGATGATCCGTTCATGGCAGATGTGTCCGGTCACGCGGCGGCCACCATATCCCGATCAGGCACTTGGATGAACTGTGATCGTATGGGCGGTAGTGTTAGTAGCACAGGTGGGCGAAACACACCTAGTCGGTTCACGCGCTGGTTCTCGCGCTCGTTATCATCAATCCAACGAAGATTATATCTTCTTCGTGGTCGTAACCGGAAAAAAATAGGTATTGATGCGGAAGAGGATTTAGATTCGCACGCACAAGATAGTTTGGAAGTGTCCAATTCCCAGACCCCAGAGCATCGATCCTTACACGAGTCGGTTATGTCAGACGCGGCAAGCGAAAAACACTCTACTAAATCCCGAAAACGGAGTAAGCGATTATTGTTTCGACGAAAATTGGTACGAAGCAATGAAGATGGTTTTGGGTGAATCACTGATCTGTGATGACTTTGGGGTTGTTTAGATCCTACTCCCTCNACTTTGGGGTTGTTTAGATCCTACTCCCTCCTCTTTTCTTCTTCGCCTACCATCACACACAAACACGCACAACTCATCTGACAATCCAAACAGGCGTGTGACACTTGTATAACGGGTGGATGTTTTTGTCGAAATTTTCTCAGCTTATCTCTTCTGTTCGCTGCCACCTACTGGATAACGGACTTTATATCGAACTTCCATTTTTCTGATTCACAAAACGACGGTCGATGCCTCGAAATGATTCTCTTTAGTGGAAGCCGTTGTTGTTTTCGTTGTCTTTTGTCCTTCGTTGTGTTCCGATTGCAGTTGCATTCTTCAACTGTCAGGCCTTCTGCTTAGAATACCGTGTTTCGCATTCTACCTGGGATGGATTGGCTCATGCTTGCGACTACCACTCTATCCTCACACCTCTCGCTTTTCTCTCTCCAACTTCATGTATTTACACGACACTAGATTTACCTCCCTCACAGTCCCGTTCAAATCCTCTGTCTCCTGTTGCGTTTTTGTTATTATTGCGCTTCCGTATCGCCCCCTCCCGCCCGCCGCCTCCTCTCATCGCTGTCAATCGCTCATGACTTGGCTTGTTCTCATCGGTTGGGCCCTGTCGATTGCGAACACTTTCGTGTAAGATCTTTTGACCGGTTTGCTTGCTGTTATCTCTTTTTTGTCTCATTGTACAAAGTAAGGACTGGTCTCCCTGCTTTCAGCGTTCACAACCTATCTAGATCTTCCCGCTTATCCCTCTATGCCTCGCCTCCATTCACACAAAAAACAAGCATTGTTGTCTTCAAATCTCCTCCTAACTCTTGTTTTTGCGTGCTTTTATTTTTGTTATTCTCTTCTTCCACAGTTGGTATTTGGCATATTTCGCCACTTTCACTCTCACACAGCATAGTCATTTTTTGTCATCAAACAGTCTTGCACTCCTTTCAATCTGTTTAGCGCTACACCTACTCGGAAATGCAGTTTTGTTTATACAGCATTGATGACATGTTGATGATCACGTTCCTGTCAACGATCAGTAGAACCGAAACAGTTTACATTTCACTGTTCGATGCGTACTATTGACCGGTTATTCTCACTCGCTTTGGGTCACCTATCTTTCTGCCCTCATGGAGAGCGTGTTCATCTCCTTTTGTTGAAACACACAATCTCGCTGTCTTCGCTCTTCTTCTCCAACCCCCGGTCTACGTACTTGTACCATACATTTGAATGATAATAATTGATGCGTCGCTTGGTGAAACCACTTGGATTAGTCCAGAAAACAGCTGCGCACATAACTCTAATCCTTTCACGCAGTTCGTATTAGACTCGATGACTGGCGAAATCTGAAATAAACCAGTAGATATTTAATGTATTCATTCTAAAGTTCAATGTACAGTTCATTCGTGGTTAGAGACTGAGCTGAATCATACAGGTGGCATTCTATCAGCTGTATAAATGGTCAACTCCGATTGGTGCTTTTGTACCCAGTATCGCAAATTCCTCGAGCATCACTAACCATTCTCCGTCAGATTGATGTACACAAGGTATGGGGAAATGTATCTATTAAAATGAATAGATTGAAATGAACTGGGCTTGATGAATGGTTATACAAATGTATCATCTTTGGAGCTAATATATAATTAAACAGAAATATGATACGTGTTTTGCAACAAATCAATGCGGTCTTCTGTGTCGATGAAAACCTGCATACTTACCATGGTTAGAACCAGTAGTTTGTTTCCAAATCAAACAGAAACGATTTACAAGATAAGGTTAAACCACAAAAGAGTTGATACTTCATCCGTGATGCGTCCACCGAATGAACACCCAACTAACAAACTTGTCCACTTGGTCTATTACTTTGCCAGTTAGGATGAGGCTGGGAGCTAAATCGACCCAGCCTTATAGCAATGCTTTGCATTTTTGCAGGTGCTAAACCTATAACAAACATGGCTACACTAGCACACTACAAAATTGCGAAAAGCTTGGAAATTACCTGGATCTTCACTTAGCAGCGCAATATCGTCGGCACGCTCCAGATCAGACTGTCTGCCATCAGGAGCAAATCGATTCGATTATCTGCCCAAAAGGAATTCCATTTCGCCTGTTCGCCGAGCTTGGGAATATGTTTGCAAACGTTTCATCACCAGCCGAGGTGACATCATCAGTGCTTGTGAAGTGGCAGGGTTCTAGCCAGGGCAGGTTGTTGACCAATCTGATAGGGCGTGCGGACATTGAACGCGGCTAAGTGAAAAGGGGATTTTGGCTTTAAAAATCCTATAGCTTCCGATTGTCTGGCCTTGTTTGTAAAACGCTGATTGTTATTAGGTGGGTGGCATAAACAGGAGGCATCTGGGATTAATCGAGGTTGAGAAGAAGAATTAAACAGATAGGAAAGATGATTTTCCAAGCGGGTGCCTAAGACTTTAGGGCACGACATACATCGCGGTAGCTCACACCGACGAAGGCGTTTTTCTTTGGGAACCCTAACCGGAGCCTTTGACTTAGGAGTCTGACCCACAAGGCAGTGGGGCGTAAATTCAACGCGGAAGCGTGAGAGAAGCACCCGTGTGGGAGCTTCTGGAGACCTGTCACGCAAGGCCTTTGAATTTCGGTTAAGTTTGTTGTTCTGTGGTGCGTTGATTATCGGCTTTTCGGGATCAGCCCTTAGCCTCATGCACCCAATGAGACAAGCGGAACGTGGGCGGGACAGCACCTTATTAGCTGGGGGCTGCCCACCTTGGGCGGGCGGTAGCTGTCCAATAAAGTGTAAAGACTTCTCCCACCGTCGAGAGGAAGCGCCAGGTACCATGCTCCTACGCCCATCTAGCGGGGGGGGGGGTTCGACCGGTGAACTGCCCCTCATCGTGTTTATTTGCTGGAGTGGCCTCTGAAGGCGCGGGTGTGGATAGAAGAAAGAAAGCCAGGGGGTGCCCAAGCGGCTGAATTTGTGAGACCGAGCTTCGTCTGGCCTCTACCCGTTGACCTTTCAGGCATGATTGGATCTACGGCTGTGAGAAGCCATCCTGTGTGGCTCGCAGGTTCATTGAGGCAAGCAAGCCATCACACCACTTTAAGGTGCAGTCTCGTCGTGATGGATATATATATTCACACACATTTGAATTCAGACTGTGCCAAACAAATCGTAGTACAATAATCTTAATGAAAAAGAAAAACGTTTCATGATTTGCATGTGGGCTGAATACTGCCAGGTTTCCGAGGCCAAGGCAGATGAATTTTCTTGAGGAATCCACAACCGGAGTCTTCTGCTTGCCAAAGCCCTACCAGCAGACCAGTGGGGTGGTGTGCGAAAGCCGCAATCCATTGGGGGCCGGTGTCCAGTTCATCGGGTCATTCGCCCTTTGGACGGGGTCAAATGTCCAAGGTGCCCAATACACCTCGATACCCAATCGAGCCGGAGAACTCTACCACAACCAAGTTGTGTATATTTCGTACGCCTCTTCTTGGTTAGTTTGGAATCAGGGTTTTTGGCCAACTCCCCTATATGAGTTGTCCGTGGTCCACCAACCCCTTATTTCGGCTTTTCGTCCTCTCACTTTGATGGGAAACCACCTCCACCACGAGAAGACAGTGGGCAGGTGTTCCTCAGCAGAGGCCATTCGAGACGCTAGGTCAAGTGGGAGCATTTCGCGAGGTGCAAGGGAAGGGTGATCAGCCCCAACCCTTGACTCCCACCCCATAATCTATCGTATCATGATATCAATTTTCCTGACCGGATAGTCTTGTCAGAGAATGAACAAGTGGATATATACATTCGAAACAATCACCGGATGTTCGTTGTGCGTTATGTTCATTCAGGTATCTTTATTTATTTTTCATAAGGACTAAGAGATACACAGTTATCTTATTAGTGCGACGCTCCGTTCCAGACTAGGAATCATTGTCAACTGGAAGTGATCGCACCTGTTTGTGAATAGGAATTAAAGCTATCAATAAATTGAATCGAGTGAAGTAATCACTTTCGTTGTAAACTGATTTTGGTGTTTTGTTTTCACCGTGCCTTATTTAACAGAAACCATATGTAATAGGACCAAATTCAAACCATCCAAGTACGATCACCATTCTGGAAGCCTTTGATGCACTTTTCCGCATGGTGGTGTTGTGGCCTACAAATATCTGATTCACTTGTCATACATGATTGTTACCAAATTGATTGATTGATCGATCGATTAACTGATTGTTTGAATGCTGGCTTCACGGCATTCGGGTGTAGTGCGACGTGTGAGCTGATGTCGGTCTGCCTTCCTATAAGTTGTGTGTTCCCCGGTTTGCGGACCGGCTACATATTTGCTGTTTACAATAAACTTACTGCTTAATTCATTGTGTGCTCCTTTGCCTACTTAATTTGGAACACAACAGGTGGTAAGTGGTGTCACAAATCCCAGACAAAGTCGGGGATATCAACCAGCCGGATCAGCCCGTTATGTCGGCCCATCTATGTATTCAGATGATTAGATAAGACAAAATTTCTTATTTATATTTGATCTTCAACACAGCCTGCATCGCTCTTTATCTGGTCTGGTGAACATGTCAGGTAAATAAACATAAAGGATATGTGAATCTGCCCGACCGGCTGGTGGTTGTGTAAACACAAGTGCAATTTCCTCGGTATTTTTTTATTCAGACACCTGGAATTTCATTCATCACCACCATCAGAAGGTAAACAAAGTGCCCGGGCTGAAGAAGGAACGGTCCGTAGTTCAGGCTGAAAACCGAGCATTTAGACCCTGTTAGTTACATCTGTATGATTACTTGTAACAACATTCTTTGTCTGAAACACACTATAAACTATGCTACCGGTTCTCTCTATAACATGCGTTCATTTGCTTCAGATGATTTCTCGCGAAACCGTGGGTGTTCCACCGAAGTGTTTCGCGCTATTATCGTTTATGGTTCGAATACTCACTTCATTTTAGTAGGCATGAATAATATCCGATCGGCTTCAT